ATACTTTATTAAACAAATCGGCTGGCGGAATTTGAAGATAACGAACAAGTGGGATACATCTTTCTAATGTTGTGGCTAATGTAGCAAAATCTTCAGGTGTCCATTTTTCAAGATCTTCTGAATTTAGGCGCGGATTTTGTGCAATACCCCAATTAATTATAGACTCCCAAGTACGTATTTCTGTCAGATTGAGATCATCTCGTTGTAATATCGATAGCAAAACATTCTCATCCTAGACGATAATAACATGATTTTAGGTCATGAATTTGAACATAGATTAACAAATATTACAAGTTACCAATAATTGTAGCATATCAGGTTTGAATATTGATTCCGGGTCGTCGCAAATAATTTGTCGACAATGGTCTTGAAGTGTTGTGAGAGCTGGATGATTAAACGCCATTTCGTAAATTTTTTTGAAATTAACTTTCAGCCAATTCGATTGATTTTGAACTAATTGATCTTGAACGAAATCCAGTAATTCTTTTAGACACAATTCGTCAACTGCCATTAACAAATCAAGTAGCCAGTCTGCATCTTGTCCAGATAACGTTATCGTACCCGTATACAAATAACTTTATAAAGATTATTAGCATATATTAATATTTGTAACTGTAATGAATCGATAAATTCAAAATTAACATTTAAATGAAACAAACTTTAAAATGACTTCGAAAACATCCGATGAAATGTTAGATTTATTAAATACGATACAATTCCCTTCCATTTTAGCCCAATCTCTCGATAATGCTCGTCTGAAATAAGCCGATCTAGCACGCAATAAAACTGAATGCGCCTTAAATTCACGAACATTTGGATCTTGCCCAACTTTAATCAACACGTTAAAATCATCCGCCTCTTCCAACAGAGAACAAAGGTCTGTTGATAGACTTCCTAAAAAGGAAGTTGTTGTGTGCGTTGTTGTGGTTATATTTGTGGTAGTTGATTTTAAAGGTGTGGATTTTTGTAAAATTGTTTTTGTTAACATTTTTTTTGTATTTGAAATTATTATGTCTCTAATTAAATTCAACGAAATTATTAGCTCTGTGTTTTTGTGGTATCTTATGAGAGAGTTTGCGTATATTTATTAATGCCGTTGTTATAAGTTTTGGAATGAAAGAATGTGAAACGAATTTCCAAAAGGTAAATATTGTGTAGATGATTGTATTAACCGTAATTGTCGTGTGAATGTTAAACAAAAGAAACCTGTGCTACAATAATAAAAAATTTACATATATGATATACATGTACATGTACATGTGCTTCATAAATGCCTATGGTAATGCTAACGCTAATGATGATGTGATTTTTGCACTTCTTTAGATGGTTTTCACATAATTCACATTAATACATGTATTAGGCTAAAACAGGTATATATATTTCCATTTGCATCCACCTGAATATATTTTTGATTGTCTTTTCTTAAAAATTTAATTTTAAGATATTAAAAACTATTATAAAATTGTAATATCATTATAGTAATATTTTTGTATAGCACATGTATTAAACTTATTATTATAAAAATGCTACAGATATCAAATTATCAAATTTATTAATGAATTATGGAGAAGATAACCCATTTTCTTTCTATTAAATGCTTTAATAGTAATAATACTTTTTACTTTAAGGGAGAGAGATATTGCGACGAAATAAGGATATCTCGATACCCAGTGATCAAAAATCGTCTAGTTATGACGAATCAAATCATTCGATTCTACACTAGATATCGAGATATACTTACTTCGTCACAATACTCCCATTAGTCATAATACCCCCTCTCTCCCTATATTGTAACAAAATTAAAACACAAATCTATAATAATAATTAAAAAATGTAATGGTAACAAAAAATTATTAATAAAATATAGGAATATAAAACATTTACTTTATATTTTTATTAATAATATTTTTTATTTTTATAATATATTTATTATTTATAATTTATTTTCTGGAAAGTGCGTTTTAGAATAAAATGTGACGGCTGATGTCGACAAAAAAACTTATATGTTTAAAAAATATTATTTAGTAAAATTAAAAAAGTAAATATTTCTTTGATTAAATTTTATTATAAATGCAAGTCGTCTGATTTGAGATTAAACTAAACTCAAATCAGGCTTAAATTTTGAATCTAAAAACATTTAAAACTTTTTTTGAATTTTAATTTATATTTTAAATTCTATATATTATTTATAATAAATACTAAAAATATTTTTATTTTATTTAATTATAAATTTATAAAAATAATTATATTTATATGGGTTGGTGCAAAAAGATTTGTACCTCAGATAAATATTAATAAATTATTTTTTCAAAATAAAATTTTAATTC